TACAGTAGGAGCTGCAGCCACTCAATTGGAAAACTCAAATGCAATGGGAATAATTGCATCTGGGAGTGCAGGGGCCAAGTGGCAGTACTCAGCCATCCACAGCAAGGTGAGTGTGGTTACCTACTGGACAGCAGAGGCGAAGCTGCAATCAGAATGGTCTGACTTTCGTGGATCTGTGGCATTGGATAGTTAATCATGGTGTTCCTAGAAGTGAAATAGACAGGAAACCTATGAAATCCTTTTTTTTTTTTTTTTTGAGACGGAGTTTCACTCTTGTTACCCAGGCTGGAGTGCAATGGCGCGATCTCGGCTCACCGCAACCTCCGCCTCCTGGGTTCAAGCAATTCTCCTGCCTCAGCCTCCTGAGTAGCTGGGACTACAGGCATGTGCCACCATGCCCAGCTAATTTTTTGTAGTTTTAGTAGAGACGGGGTTTCACCATGTTGACCAGGATGGTCTCGATCTCTTGACCTCGTGATCCACCCGCCTCGGCCTCCCAAAGTGCTGGGATTACAGGCTTGAGCCACCGCGCCCGGCCCTGGAAACCTATGAAATTCTTACTTGATCTGTATAAGCAGAAAACTTACAGGTCAAATGAAAAAAAAGTCCAACTTGAATAATTAAAAGAGAAAATCACAGCCCTCAATCAACTTCCGGACTTGAGCCAGTTTACACAACTAAGCCCTTGAATTAATTAATGAATGAATTGTGGGCTGGGTTCCCTTGAAGAAGGAGCTCAGTACACTATAGAAGATGAATGCTGTTAGTCTTCCTCCTAGCCTTCCCCAAAGGAACCTGTGGCCTTTTACCAGGGAGAATATGCATTGAGGAAAGGGAAATAATTGGACTTTTCAGAGATGGCAGGACACTGAACTGACACTGATTCCAGGAAACCAAAAACATCACTGTGGCCCACCCATCAGAGGAGGGGCTTATGGAGGTCAGGTGATGAGTGGAGTTTTAGCGTCTGACTCTTCATGGCTCCAGTGGATCCCTGAACCCATCCTGTGGTTATTTCCTGGTTCCAGATGCATAATTGACACACTTAGCACCTAGCAGAATCCCCACACTCGTTCTGTAACTTGTGCAGTAAGGGCGATTATGGTGGGAAAGGCCAAATGGAAAGTGTTAGAGTTGCCTCTGCCTAGGAAAATAGTACATCAAAAGCAACATTGCATCCCTGGGGGACACTGCAGAGCTTAGCGCCACCATCAAGGAGTTGGAGGATGCAGGGGGTGGTGATCCCACCACATCCACACTCAACTCTCCCATTAGGCCTGCGCAGAAGACAGATGGACTTTGGAAACTGATTGTGGATTATTGTAAGCTTACCCAAGTGGTGACTCCAAAAATTAACACATCTCTGGTCCCTGGTACTGCATGCAGCTATTGATCTGGCAAATGCCTTTCTCTTTATACCTGCTCGTAAGGCACACCAGAAGCAGTTTGCTTTCAGCTGGCAAGGCCAGCAAGGCACCTTGATGGTCTTGGCTTACAGGTTATCAACTCTCCAGCCCTATGTTACAGTTTAGTTCACGGCCGTCTTGATCACCTTTCCCTTCTGCAGATATCATGCTGACGCTGGGCACGGTGGCTCACACCTGTAATCCTGGCACTTCTAGCACTTCAGGAGGCTGAGGCAGGAGGATCACTTGAGCTCAGGAGTTTGAGACCAGCCTGGGCAACATAGTGAGACATTATCTCTACATTTTTCGAGACAGAGTCTCGCTTGATCTTGGCTAACTGCAGCCTCTGCCTCCTGGGCTTAAGTGATTCTCATGCTTCAGCATCAGTAGCTGGGACTACAAGAGTGTGCCAGTTTTTGTATTTTTTTTTTTTTTTTTTTTTTTAGAGACAAGGTTTCACCATCTCTATAAAAATTTTTTTTTTAAATGCCAGACATGGTGGTGCATGCCTGTGGTCCCAGCTGCTTGGGTGGCTGAGGTGGGAGGATTGCTTGAGCCCAGGAGGTCGAGACTTGCCGTGAGCAGTGATTGTGCTCCTTTACTACATCCTGGGCAACAGAGCAAGACCCTGCCCCCCACCCCCCCAAAAAAATAGGTATTATACTGGTCTATGACATTGATGTCATTATGCCGATTGGACCTAGTAAGCAAGAAGTAGCAACCACTCTGGACTTATTGGGAAGACATTTACATGTCAAGTGATGGGAAATAAATTCTACTGAAACTCAGGGGCTTTCTCCTTTAGTGACATTTCTCGGGGTCCAGTAGCGTCAGGCCTGTCAAGGTATCCCCTGTAAAGTGAAGGATAAGTTGTTACAGCTTTCCTCCTACAAGCAAGAAAGAGCCAGGATGCCTAGTGGGCCTGCTTGGGTTTTGTAGGCAACACGTTCTTCATTTGGGTGTGTTACTCCAGCCCATTTGCTAAGTCATCACGCTTCTAGTTTTGAGCAGGGCCCGTAGCAGAAGACTCTGCAGCAGGTCCAGGCTGCTGTGCAGGCTGCCCTGCCACTTGGGCCCCCAGCAGATCCAAGATCAGAGGTCAGTGGCAGACAGGGAGGCTGTTGAAAGCCTTCGGCCGCCCCCTGTAGGCGAATCGCAGTGCAGGCCTTTGGGAAGTTGGGGCAAGGCCCTGCCATCATCCGCAAATAACTTCATTCCTTTTGAGAGACAGCTCTTGGCCTAATACTGGGTCCTAGTACAAACGTAACGTTTGACCATCGGCTGTGAAGTTTCCATGTGACCTGAGCTGCCATCATGAAATGGGTGTTATCAACTATCAGACCTACCAAACCGTACATTGGGCATGTACAACAGAATGTTCAACATCATCGAGTGGAAGTGTACATGGGATCAGGTCTGAGCAGGTCCCAAAGGCACAAGTAAGTGACATGAGGAAGTGGTCCAAAGGCCCATGGCTCTTACTTTTGCCCACTGCCCTCTCTCTCCAGCCTGTACCTATGGTCTCATGGGGAGTTCCTTATGATCGGTTGACAGTAGAAGACTCAGCCTGGTTTACAGATGGCTATGGATGGTTCTGCACCATATGCAGGCACCACCCAAAGGTGGACAGCTGCAGCACTGCAGCCACTTGCTGGGACATCTCTGAAGGACAAGGGTGAAGGGAAATCCTCCCGGGCAGAGCTTGGGGCAGTGCATCTGCTTGTGCACTTTGCTCAGAGGAGAGATGGCCAGATGAGGGATTATATACTGATTCATAGGCTGTGCCCGATGATTTGGCTGGATGGTCAGGGACTTGGGGACTTGGAAAGAATGTGATTGGATGATTGGTGACAAAGAAATCTGGGGGCCTGGCATAGTGGCTCACACCTGTAATTCCAGCACTTTGGGAGGCCAAGGTGGGAGGATCGCTTGAGCCCAAGGAGTTTAAGACCAGCCTGGGCAACATAGTGAGACCTCTCTTCATCTCTACAAAAATAAAAAATTAGCTGGGCATAGTGACTCATGCCTGCAGTCCCAGCTATTGGGAGGCTGAGGTGGGAGGATCACTTGAGTTTGGGAGGTTGAGGCTGCAGTGAGCTGTGATTGCACTAGCCTGGGCAACAGAATGAGACCCTGTATCAAGAAATCCAACCAAACAAAAAAGAAATTGGGGGAAGAGGTATGTGGATAGACCTCCTGAGTGGGCAGAGGACATGAGGCGTGTGGGTAGGATGACCGAGGTGTTTACTAGTCAGCCTCTTTCCTTCCACCCCTGTCATCGCCTGATGGGCCAGGAACAGAGTGGTCATGGTGGCAGAGATGGAGGCGATGTGTGGGCTCAGCAATGTGGACTGCCACTCACCAGAGCCAGCCTGGCTACAGCTGCCACTGGGTACCACTCTTCCAGCAGCAGAGACTAACACCGAGCTCCAGTATGGCCCCATTCCCCAGGGTGATCACTTCACCTGGTGGAAGGCATGTTGGACCCCTTCTGTTTTGGAAAGGGCAGCATTTTGCCCTCACTGGAACAGGCACTTGTTCCGGATATAGACTCATCTTCCCTGCACACAGTGTTTCTGCCGAAATCACCATCCATGGATTCCCAGAACACCTTACCACAGCCATGCTGTCCACAGGCACCGCTTCCAAGGAGCTCACTTCACAACACGGAAGTGTGGTCATGGGCTCATGTGCAGGGAATTGGCTGGTGAGCACGAGCCCGCTGGTTTCACCTCTCATGCTAAGTGGGACTATGCCCTTGTTATTGCCTTTATTTGGAAATTAAATATATTGAAGAAGATGCCAGCGGATGCCTATGGGTGCCAGTTGATAAGGGGTGAACTCATGATGACTGATTTTGGATGTCAGCTTGACTAGATTAAGGAATACCCACACAGCTGGTAAAGCACTGATCGTTCTCCATGCTTCAGCACACACTGAGCCCGTCCCTTTTCTGCCAAAGGGGAAACCCAGTGGTTTGCCATTGCGTAGAATGATCGGGCTGCCCCAGGTGTGTCTGTGACAGTGTTTTCAGAGGACACTGGCATTTGAGTCACTCAGCTGGATGGGGAGGTCTGCCCTCCATGGGCACAGACACTGTCCAGTCAGCCGGGGGCCTGGGTGGAACGAATAGCTGGAAGGAAGGGCGAATCCTGGCTCTCTGTCCCGGAGCTGGGATGCTCTTCTTCTCCTGCACTTGTATGTCTGAACTCCAGGTTCTCTGGCCTGTAGACTCTGGGACTCGTACTAGTGATCCCCGGGGTGGTCTTTGGCCAGGGACTCAGAATGACCGTGATCCCCACCATCCGAAGCAGCTGACTTGAAAGAAGAGCACTGGAGTCTTTTGAAGTTCAATTACAACAGCAGCTAAGTGACAGTAATACTAAGTGACAGTACTTTGTAGGGCTGGGGCAGGTGTCTTCCAAAGGCTGTATGTAGCCTGTATCGGCATCCAGTGTTTGGTGCTGGTTTCTCCCATAGCCAGGATTCACGGGTCCAGGAATCAAGGGGAGGAAATGGGGGCGGCGCCACACATCATCATCCCTAGGGACCCACTAGCAAAATGTTTGCTTCCTGTTCCTGTGACTTTATGCTCTGCTGGCCTGGAGGTCTTGGTTCCAAAGGGAGGAATACTTCCACCAGGAGAAACAACAGTGAGTCCATTGAACTGGGGGCTTTGGTAACTAGTTGAATGTGAGGTGTAGAGAAGGGTGAAGAATTGCAGGTGTCTTGGGTCCCCAGCTAGTTTGAGGGTCATCATGAATGATGACTTACAGGCTGGGGGACTGGGTCCATGGAGGTGCTTTGAACCTGTCCCAAGTGGAAGTGGTTTGAGTGGACGTGTCTGGATGGCAAATGGCCTCAACGCTCAAGCATCCTCCCACCTCAGCCTCCCTAGTACCTGGGACTATTGGTGCACACCAGCACGCCCAGTTAATTTTTAAATTTCTCTTAGAGACAGGGAATATATTTCTCTATATTTCCCAGGCTGGTCTCGAACTCCTGGGCTCAAGCGACCCTCCCAAAGTGGTAGGATCATGGGCATGCACCACACGCTCATCCTCTGCTGCTTTGGTGCTGTTCCCCCATCCCCGCTTGAAAGCTCTGGCCACTCCCTGGGCTGCACCTGCCTGCTGCGCCGGACCCGTCTGGCTTTGTCTTCCCCACAGAGGCCTCGCCCACCTCTCCCTCCCACCCTCGTGGCCCATCTGCCCCCTCAGGAGCGTCCCTCTCCTCCCTTGTAGCCTCAGCCACTGTCACCTGTATTCTGCTGACCCTGCCTCACACATTCTTCATGCTGCCCGGTCCCGCCTCAGCTGGCCCATTCCCACCAGCTGACCTGCATCCCGCTCATTTCACTTTCCAAAAACTGATCCCCTCACACCTCCCCTCTTCCCAGGGGTGTCCCCATCAGCAGGCAGCCCTGCCATCCACCATCCATCCTGTCAACCCGACATGTGTACCCTCAGCCGTGCCAGGGACACCTGTTGTGGGCAGCCCAATGACCTGCGGGCTCCAGGAGGGCAGGACCCGGCCACGAGGCTGTTGTTCACCACTGAGTCCCCAGTAGTTAGGGACAGAGTGGGTTCTTGGATACCTGTTGGATGAGGGAGCAATGGCAAGGCTGGTGGCTTAGTGGATCCCAGCAGGGTCTGGGAGAGCTCGGTGTGGGCCCAGGTGGGGGTGCTGGGGGTGGGGATTTCCTGTCATAGAACTAGACTGCCAGGTGTTCGTTCTCAGACCAGACTTTTTTCATGACCCTATAGGAGGTCAGGAACTCAGAACAAGCACTCCTAACAAGCCTTCATTCTCAGGAGCTGTTACAGGACCACATGTCATTCATGCGTTCATTCAAACATTTACTAAGCACCTATTATATGCAGCCAGTCTGATGGGGCCGAGGATATAAAGAATGAGGAGGGTGTCGCTGTCTAGTGGGTGAGACAGGCCCGTCTCTGCTGATGACAGCGCTCAGGGCATCAGAGGACACTGGTGGTGGGGTGGCCAGGTGGGAGAGGCAGGGTAGGTGCTGGGATGCGGCCGGAGTGAGCGAAGAGAGGCAGGAGGGCCCACAGACCTGGCGACATTTGTGTGACTACAAGTGACATGGGAGAGGGGTTTGTGGTTTAGGGGACGAAAGTGTGTTGGGGACAGAGCAGTGGTTTTGGGGAGTCAGCCACCAGGCTGGGTCCCAGCCGTGCTCCTGCAGGGGAGGGACCAAGCCATGGGGGCTCCTAAAGGGTGAGCCTTGCCCTTGGCCCCATGGGGCAGGGACTGAGGACACCTGGGCGATTGCCTGTTGCTATCGACTGCCTTCACCCTTTTCAGCCATGTGGAGGGATGGCCGGGCCCTGGTCCTTCCTCGCTGCGTCCTGTAGCGGTCGGCTTTTCCGCTCCATGGTTTCCACCACGGACAGTATTTCAGGCACAGCAGAGCTGGAGTGGGAGGGATACCCAGTTTTCTTTTGTGATGCCCAGCCTGGGGGAGGTGGGGATGGATGGAGCAGAGGGGGCTGTGGGAGGTGCATGGACTGGGGTCTGTCTATAGTGGGGTCAGTGACAATAGCCACCAACCCGACATGGTGTATCTGAGCACGCTTCCAGGTGCTGTGCATGCATGAAGTCATTTAGTCCTCGTAATGTCAGTGATACCTGTAGGGTGGGAACTACCCATTTTACAGATGAAAAAACTAGGATGGGCTGTGCTCACCCCTGGCTCATGCCTGTAATCCCAGCACTTTGGGAGGCTGAGGCAGGCGGATTACCTAAGGTCAGGAGTTCGAGACCAGCCTGACCAACATGGAGAAACTCCATCTCTACTAAAAATACAAAATTAGCCGGGCATGGTGGTGCATACCTGTAATCCCAGCTACTCGGGAGGCTGAGGCAGGAGAATCACTTGAACCCAGGAGGTGGAGGTTGCGGTGAGCCAAGATCATGTCATTGCACTTTAGCCTGGACAACAAGAGCAAAACTCTGTCTCAAAAAAAAAAAAAAAACTAGAATGACTCTAAGGGAAGAGCTGTGAGCTGAGCCTCAGCAGCCTGGCTCCTGGTCTTACTCTTCACCACCATTCCCTTCCACAAAGAAAGAGCAAGGAAGAAATGAGTGACCCAAGAGACAGGTCAGCAGAGCAGATGTCACTGTGGCTGGGTAAATAAGATGCAGGGGCTGTTAAGAGTCAGAGTGGTCCCAGGTATATGAGGATTGGTGTCTGAACTACATGGAGAGAAAGTAGAGTCAGCTCGAAGATGCTCTGGATGTACAGATGTGCTCTGTGACATTGGCTACTTAGGGTATCTTTTTTTTTTTAATAAATGGAGTCTCGCTCTGTCACCCAGGCTGGAGTGCAGTGTCACAGTGTCAGCTCACTGCAGCCTCTGCCTCCCAGAGTCCAGTGATTCTCCCACCTCAGCCTCCCGGGTAGCTGGAATTGCAGGCATGTACCACCATGCACAGCTAATTTTTGTATTTTTAGTAGAGATGGGGGTTTCACCATGTTGGCTAGGCTGTTCTCGAACTCCTGACCTCAGGTGATCCGCCTGCCTCGGCCTCCCAAAGTAGTGGGATTGCAGGCATTAGCCACCATGCCCGGCTGTCCTTCTTCAATTGAGGTGAAATTCACATAATATAAATGAGCCATTTTAAAGTGAACAGTTCAGGAGCGTTTAGTACATTCACAGTGTTGTACAATTATCCGCTCTGTCTAGTTCCAAAACGTCTTCATCCCCCCAGAAGGAAACCCCCTCCATATTAGCCGTCACCCCCATCCTCCCTCCGCAGCCCCTGGGAACCAGCTTTGCCTGTGCTGGACAGTTCGTACAAATGGAGCCATACATTGTGCGGCCTTCTGCGTCTGACTTCTGGCTAATTGAGTTTTGCACGGAAGATTGAAGCATTTCCTAAGTGGAAGCTGGATTTCCCATCCTGGATTCGTTGTAGGCCATAGGAAGGTGGGATGGGAGAGTCGGATCCAAACACCTTGTCTAAGAGGTTGGCTGGGAAACACGGGCATCTGTCTTTTTCTCCATATCCCTCATCACCAGAAACTCAGCCACCATCTTCTTGTCGCCAGTGATCTTGTTATTTATTTTTAATTTTTTCCTATCGATCTTTTAAAAATGACACCTGTTGTCAGCTCCCTTCTGGAGCCCATCAGCAGTTCCATTGCTCTTATGGTGAATTCGCAAACCCGGGACGTGGTCTTTGGGGTGCGTGTGGCCTCCTCCCAGGCCTACCCTGAGCCACCCCCTCCTCCCCAGGGTCCACCTCAACTGTGGTGCCAGATGTGTCCTCATGGGGACCGACCCTGAGGCTGGGGGTCTGTAACTCATGCTGCTCCTTCTCTTGGGGGGCAGGAGCCGTTTCCAGGAATGGTTGCTGACAGTGTTGGCCATTTGGTGCCACTTCCAAACCCTGTTAACCCATCTGGGACCAGAACTTCAGCAAGTCAGTTTCTTAATTCCTTTCCTTCCAATGTTTTCTAAGACATATCAGGCCCCAAAGAGGGTGGCCTGCCTCCCATTGGACAGAGTGTGGCAGAAGTGTGCTTAGGAGTTTCCTACCAGTGGTCTCAGGTAGTGATGCAGTTGCCCTGACTGGTGGTGCCTCGCACGGGAGCCATTTACCCTGGGCCCACTCTTGGCAGGGTCATGGGCACTCCAGCAGTGGGTCCTCCATGCCCAGGGCCCCCTGGAGCCACAGTGCCCTGACTGTGGGTGGGGGAAAGGAGACAGGTGAGGTTGCCCCAGGCATGGGAGAAAACCTAAGCTGTCATCTGCTGAGGGACCACTGGCCCCTTCCTTGTTGGAGCTCCCGACAACTTTTTCCTGCCCTTTCCCTCCCATGCTGGGGCCAGGGTTTAGTTTAGGGTGTCTCAGATCCCATCTGCTGAGTGTGATTCTGCCCAAAATAGTCTTCACATGTATTGACTGAACGTGTGCCATGAGTCAGGCGCTCTGCTTGCCACTGCAGATAGGTTTTTAACCCCTTCAGCAATCCTGTGAGTTAGATGTTATCTCTCAGTTTATAGATGAGAAAGAAGAACTTTTTTCGAGAGAGGTTTTCTGCACTTCAGGAGGTGGCGTGTCTCCCTGGATGCTGGAAGGTGGGCCTGACCCCACCGCCTGGGTTTTTTTCTTCTCTGGCAGTGGAACGTGCCAGCCCTGTTGATTGGGCACCTGCTATTGCCACACACAGCCTGGGAGGTGTGTGATGCACCTCCAGGTCCCTGAGAGCCTGTGGCCCAGCAGGTGTATGCAGGAAACATGAGTTCACTGCCAGGGGCTGGGCAGTCACCAGACCAGCGTGGGTACAGAGGGCCTCCTGGGGCCATCAGGAGCGTACGTTCTAGACCGGGGGGTTTCATGGTAGGGGCCAGGAGACTGGCTGCCGTGAGGAGGACCAGGGAAGGCTTCAGAGCTGTGTAGCAGGGAGGGCATCGAATACCGAGCCCAGGGGTCGTTGGTGGGCACGGGGTGTCCTTGCACTTCCACACCATTCACCCTCAGAGTTGTTAATGAGATGTGCAGATAAGCTAGACTTTCCCTCTCAATTCCTGTGTGCTCCCCTGCCGAGTGTGTGTGTGTGTGTGTGTGTGTGTGTGTGTGTGTGTGTGTGAGAGAGAGAGAGAGAGAGATTGAGACAGACAGACAGACAGGGTCTCTCTGTCACC